TTAACGGCACTCCCGGATATCCCCGTTTTCTAATTAGGGGTAAGCCAAAGCGGCGGGAGCGAGAGCGAGAGTGAAAGAGAAAGAGAGAGAGAGCGAGAGAAAAAAAAAGAGTGTTGAAAATTAAATTCATTCCAGACGATCCGCCAGTGCACGAAACCACCGTTGGCGGCGCCACGCGCATATTTCCCCAAGCACATCGAGTATAAAAGCCTAAAACAACATTTCCCAATTTTTCTTTTTTCCGAACACCACGCACACTCGAAATTAATTAGATTTCTTTTTTTTATCCTCTCCCTCTCTCTCACTCTCACTCCCAACCACCCCATTAGTCCCTTCGTCCAAACTTTTTCTCTCGAACGACGAATGCCTCGTTTCTGTCTAGCTATACAAGTTCGACCCTTGACCCTTTCAATTCCCTTTCATCCCTTATTTTTAATTATTCCTGTAAACCCGCACGTTAAACCTGCTAACTAAAACGGCCCAACCAGAAGCTGGGCCTTGAGGCCATGTTTTGATAGAAATTTTCAGCATCCTTTCCTTCGCTCTTGCACACCCCCCACTCCGGCTCCCTCCTCCACCCTCCACCTTCCCCTTCAACCATTCCTCATATAGTTGGGTAACTCGCAGGATATCCTGGAAATCTCTGGATATTTATCCATCGTGGAAACACAATTTTCTCCTGGTACACAAGACTCTACCAAGCATCATTACAGAATTAAATATTTGTTTATTAATAATAAAAGTGATCTAACGTCCAGTAAACAGATTTATCTGTTATGGAAGTATGAACCAAATTTTATGTACTAATCAAAAATCGCGATAATGAAGTACCGGTAGAATGAACTTATGTAGCAAGGTATATACATATACACACTTCTTCATATATACTAAATCTTATAGGTAGATACGTTCTTACTCACAATAGCTCCACGAGCCAGCCAAAGATCAAATTAACAGTAAATAACATTTCTCTCGAGACGCATAAAATTAGCCCTATGATTGGTTGCTGTAAATCTCAGCACGTTGACTAGTTTAGGGCTCCGCGAAAACGCGGTGTGAAACCGCAAGCGTATCATTAGCTCCGTGAGAGTAAGGCAAAAGAGCCGCTCGAGAAGAAAGAGCGAATGAGACTGAAATAAAAGTGGTCCAGCGTCAGACGACAGACCGAAGGATGCTGTGAAAACGAATAAAAATTAAAGATCATAAAGAAAAAAAAAAGAATTCAATTGTCTTCGAGATAGCATCCCTTATCAGGGATGCTGCGATTTTTTTTTCTGGACCGTAATAGTAATTAACTCCGTATACAATACCACGTGCGTGAATCGTTTGTCGAATTTTTCTTATATTTTATTTCATTTTCCACGAAACTCAGGAAGAATGGGTTGTTTCGATAAAAACAAAAAATATTTAGCGACCCCAGGTAGTTCGTGCGATAATTTACTATCGGTCGAGCAATAATTTGTATTGATTCCATCGGGTGCGCGCATTTCACTCGGAAAATAGGGTGCAGAATCAAGGGGCGGGGGGGGTTGTTGGTCAGAGAATTTACACGGGACCAGAGAATACGTCCGAGTGGTGGTAGCGTTGTACTGCAGGTATATGACCTAACACCTGGAAGGGTAGTTCGCGGATACAAAAAGGGCAGATAGGTAGGTGGCCCGCTTTATTTACAGGGTGAAATTTCATTTTTTGATCTCTCGCATTTGCTGCGTCGAACTGCCGTCGTGATAAAGGACATATGGGTGTGTGTTTATATATAGGTAGACACATGGAAAAATCAAATGCGCCAGTGCATAAAACATGAGGCCTGGAATAAAATGAAAGCACGAATGAAAATAAGGGAACGAAGAGCGAGACGGATGGATAGCGGGGAAGAGAGGGTATTATATATATATTGGGTATACTATATAGTGAAAGCAGAATATCTGTACTGCATATGTATATATATATTTACATAGTTTAATTGTAGTCACTACAGGACAGCACTGGAGAGCATGGCAGATGGTAAATACAAACTGAATAAGTGAGAAAGTAATATATATATATATATATATCGAGAGATAGAGAGAGAGAGAGAGAGAGAGAGACCTCGTGGCCGCTTGGAGTCTCTAATTTCAAAAACAACGCGTAACACCGCGATAAAGATTTAATCGGGTCGTGCGCCGACAAAATTGCTCGGGAAAATGCAAATTAAATAAACGAGCCAGTCGCGCGGTAGCGGCGATGGGAAAATTTGAAGGGAGAAAGTAAAGCGTGCGATCGTGAGGGTAGTGGTCGACTGGCGCAAGGATGCAGTGAGAGAGAGAGAGAGAGAGAGAGAGAGAGAGAGAGAGAGAGAGAGGATAGACTAGCCACGCGGTAAACCGAACATCGCTGTATGTTACCTGACTGTATACGACTGACCTAGCTTTTTAAACAATCGCACGCGATGCGACACGCCGGAAGTCATTACAATAAATTTGCGGCACTGTTAAATCGGCAGTAAAAATTTTACAACGGAAAAATAAATAAATCTTCAAAGTACCTCGTCATGTCTCGCGCATCCGTTACGCTCGCTGGCAGGGAACCATTCTTGTTTATCGTAAGGTTCTTCTATTTTTTTGGTCCACATTTTTCAAACCATACAAAATTTTTTATAATTTTCATCCTTTTTTTTTGTCATTGTTCAGTAACATAATTTTAATCAAAATACCATTTTGCACTTCGATATTTCTATACCGATATTTCGAGAATCCAAGCAGCAGATAAATCTTAGTTATCTTTAGAGATACCTTATAGGAAAAAATTCGTCCCGTCAGGGACGTCTTAAAGACTACTTTTAAATGACATGTGGTACCCGGGAAGGGAAGTCTCTGTATTCCTGGTAATTTTTAGTCTCGAACTTCATGATTTATCGCAATTGTCACTAAAATCAATTTTGTCAAGCAGACGAGGTCAAGCATCATCTCGGTTCCCTATGAATTATACTCATTGTTATCACCATGAAACAAAGGGGTATCATCCCTCTTATCTCATAATTATACAGTACCAATAGATTTGCGGTCTACCCCGTATATTCTGTTTAATAGTAATTTCTTATTTTTTTTTTTTAGTATATCTTTTCCTTTCCTTGGACATACCCACTTTATTTTTTTACTCAAGAACCACACGACCAAGAATGCTACCCCAACGCACAATCTGTGTCTAGTCTTTATATATATATTTTTTGAAATTCCCGCGCTGCCACGATAGCCAAATAAATTTTTATGTTGGCCCATAAAACATTTGCCCTCGTGACCAAGGCTTGTTTCGTCTTAGAAACGTGTGAAGGATTCCATTTAGTAAAAGCAATTCTATAGGGCACCACCGTCACCTCCGCCAATTCAATCCCACGCGTCTTTTTTGCAATTTCAAAGGAATTCTGAAAAAAAAATATATATAGTATACTCGTAAGAACATACGTATATATGCATAACAAATATCATAGGACGTAAAAAAAGGTGAGAGTGCCTTCTGAAAATTTGTCTGTTTTATAGCGTCGCGACGGTACCGTCGGTCTTGTCAATTACTATAGTCACGTGGATACGCCCTTAACGTTACCGACATCCCCAATCACTGTCAATTATTGTGGTCTCAATTTTAACAAGCCCTTCAAGAAGCACAATTTCCTTTCAATCTATTCCTATCGCACCTGTACAGAGAGACGCCAGTTTATTTAGTGTCTTTGAATTTTTTTTCCAAATTTATATCGATAAACTTCAATGACTCACGTTCTGTCCGTTATTCTTAAATGGTACAGATCGAGTTTCCGTACGCTGGTGGGATATGAGGAAGGTTAATTTTTGGGAGGGCGAATAGAGTGGTTTAACTTCGGTTAGAACATGGCTGGTTTAAAGGGACACTGAAGAATACCTATGGGATATTGTATGGGGGCAGATAGAGAGCCTGGGTAGACGTAAACGCAAGAAAAATCATGGGAAGTGGATGCTAAAGATATTTCACTCGCTTTAGAAGCGTTCCGGAGAATTGCCGCTGTGTGCTACGCTTTTCTGTATGCTGTGCTGTACTGTGCTGTGCTGCTGGGACTGTAGCACAGTCGCGCTACGGTTGTACGCCGAACGCGAGGCAATGCGTCATCCTGCGCTATAAAAATGTAATAGCCCCTTAAATAACCCTGTGTACCATATTTATGTCGCGTTCTCTTCTGTTTCAGCTATACCCTCATCCACCGTCTTTCCCTCTTCTATAGCTTTAGCGCCATTCGCGACCCCTTCTATCGCCAATCCTTATTCACGCTATAATAATTTCGTGCTGTCTCAAAAAATTAGTCGACAATTTTTTTTAACGATTTGCTCTGTGCTTTGCCAATTGCTTGTTTTTATTTTTTAACGGACTTTTTGAAAGCTTGAAAACTTTTTCACATTTTTTTTCGAGATCGACTCATAGTTAATACTTTTTTTTTGGTTTTCGATATTGTTTTCGTTTGATAGGCAGATTTTGGTTTTTTGTACAAATTTTTTTTTAAGAGACGTAAACAGCGATTACTCCAATTTTTTGTTGTAATGAATTTTTTTTATTCTAACATTGTTTGATTCTCTAATTACGATGGTTTATGGTTCATGGTAAATTTGTTGAACATTTTCTTTACAGTACAGTGCAGGTTATGGTAGAATATGATGCAATTTTTTACCTAATCTGTATATACTATATATACTAATACTGTATACATATACAGTATATATTTATTACTGTATATATATATATATATACTGTACTATACTGTACTGTATATATTTATATGTAATCTGTATATACTATATATACTTATACTATATATATATATATACTGTACTATACTGTACTGTATATATTTATATGTAATCTGTATATACTATATATACTTATACTATATATATATATATACTGTACTATACTGTACTGTATATATTTATATGTAATCTGTATATACTATATATACTTATACTATATATATATATACTAAATATATGTAACATGTCACACTTACTTATTTCGATATTAAGTTATTAATATTACTTTGTCGTAACAATACTGTACAAGTACACGTCTATATATGTATAATGCTCACGCAATTATTGTCTAACTCTGGTACCACTACAGTACCCACTGTACTTGCATTATCGGTTTACCTCAATAACATTATTTTTATGAATCCTTCTAAGTAACAACTGGCCACACTAGGACATTGAGGATGGATTTTTGAAAAACTTAAAAAATAAAAAATAATCAAATTTGACAATATTCCCTTTAAAGATGTCCGCTTCCCTCAGGATGAAAATAAACCATGTACGTGTTAACCGGGTTCCAATTGCTGCCGGCTATTGGTTTGGTCACCTTATCCTGACACTTATCATAATCGTGATGTTTATCGACATTTTTAACAGTTTGAATTTTTTTCAAAAAAGTAGACAGCATATGATTTTTTTCTTCGCCATCCGATGCTTTCTTGTGAATCATTATCTCCTGATGCGAAGGAAAATCAAGAGATACTTTAGGCATGTTGTGGTGGTTTGAGTGTGCTATTTGGAAAAAAAATTTTTTTTTTAAAACATCACCATGATTATTAGACAGAGAACATTATAATTATACGTACAATAAAAGTCGTCATTCCCTTTCCAAGGATAGTTCTCGGGATACCCTAATGACGAAGAACCATGGGAGCTTGATGGTACAGTAATTTCTGGATCAGGTACAAATTGGTATTCATAATCGTTCCAACCCATTGATTTCAATTGTTTACTGTAAATCAATGAATTATTTTACATACAAATTTATTAATCACGTATATTGTAAAAAAATTAATTTTTACTCACTCATGCCAATAATCCAAATCGTACTTTCCCGGTGCTTTAACTGGATGGTCGGATATGATGTTTACTGGCATTGGATAATGATGATAAACGTGATGATAATTAGTCGTCGTGTTTGTTGTATGATTTTTCTTCCCCTTCAATGACTGGAAGAAATCCATGAGCACCCTTGTCGGACTGAAAAAACTGACTTTTGTTTCGCGTGTAACGTATTTTTGATTTTTTATAAAATTTTGCTTTTTTTGGTAATTATATTTTTTTCTAATTATCAATTCGATAACCGCGATATGTTCGATGAATTATCAAATGGCCGATTTATCGATTCGAACGTGAAGTGATTAAATCTTTCGACAAATAGCCAGACAAGCACCCAGCAGTTTTGCTTTTCGAAAATTAATTTGCCATTAACAGCAACAAATTTGCTGGCCGCGCATCCGCCGTACAAATTATTTATAATCCCGGGAACATAATTCCTAGTCAATTATGAAGGCCCAGGCTTCCCGATTGCAGCAGACTGCTCGTTCCTACAGCCGCTAGTGCACTCTTGTTAGACCAGCCAAACGCATTATAAACCCACTAAACAATGTTGTACCGCAACAAAGGATTGACCAACGTTTAATTTTAGCACAAAAAATTTGTTTATTCAGTGTAATCAGTGAAAAAGTCAATATAATTTTATTTGTTACCCTAACCCTACAATCATATAGAATTTGAAAAACAATTTTCAAAAAATTGATTGCATTTTAAAAAAATTACTAGAATCTTCATTTCTAATTTAGACACCACCCGAATATAGTCTACCCATTTGATTTATATGGTAAAACCACCTTCAAGTGATTGCACTGAATAACCCCATATGCATATATATCGATTTCTATGCAATTACAATAACCATCATTAGCATCGATAGATAATCAGAACTAATTAATCAATTTCTTAAAATAAATTAATCAGCCGTTCATTAGAATAAATTCAACAGACTTACTATTCGAAGAACAACGCTTCCGCGGTAGTGGCCAATACGAGAAACAGGAAAATCTGCAAAAAAAATCCACCAGTTTCGAAACAGCCACTAAGATAACATTAACTCTAATCACTGAATGATAAACTTGCCTGAATAATAACTATATGAATACCAAAATTCGTTTTCATAATGTGACCAAAGAACAGACGCCAGAGCGTCTTACAGGTTTCCTCGTAATGTATAACAAAACTGAGAATTGCACGGAAACAGGATCTCCTTATATCCACTCATCCAGTTCTCCCACCACACGTAAGTCCTGGCGCTAACAATTTTTGTTCCTCCCTTTTCCATAATTATTTATCATCAAGTGCAAACACCTGCACTGCCATAAGAAGCCATGACAGCCATTGGTCCCGTAACAACGGCGATAAATATCTCCCAAGTCTATATACGATCGATCGAAAATTAGCCTCGATCCGCGCACGCATAAAACCAAATAAAGCTCCAAAATACAAGAGTTCCCGGAAACGTCCAAAAACAAGTTCGTACAACCAAGGTGTTACCAACAAGAAAAAAAAAAATTCCCAACGTCAGACATATCCGTCGAATCACATCAAACATGAAACCCCGCACAATTTCACCAAGCAAACATACCGTAACCTGAATATCCCATAGACTGTAAGTAAAAAAGAAAACCGATTGCTCGACAAAAATAAATAGAGATCAAAATTCCCATAAGAAATTGCCGCAATTACGTATATCTATTTGCCATACCGGTTTGATCACTTTCCATCGAGTTTTCACTGACGCTTCGATGACTAAAATGAATAAAAAAAATGTATTCTCGAGGTCGTTAGACGAATGTAAAATATTTATAATCTCCATTATAATCATCGTCTATCTTCAGGCTGAATATACTAACCGAGTCGGACTCTCGTCCGACATCGTCTCGGTCAACTAGAGACAAGTCGTAATAGTCTTTCCGTCCCGGTCACTAATTAGAGCTCTGTCTGATCAAGGCAGTACCGTTCCACTGGCACAGTAAACCTGCACACGTCTCTTAAGAATAAGCATGCAAAGTGCATTCGCCTCTAGCATAGAAAGTAAATGGCAACTGTCCGAACGATCCGTTCGGACTGAAAGAACCAGTATATCGGATTGTTAAGAAAACTGTATCACTGGTCTCCGATATAAGTTATACAGGGAAATCGCGACACTTTCTCATTGGACTCTCATTCCCTTTCCTTTACATTGTCAAGAGCAAGCGAAAATATGAAAATTTAAATAGGGAAAATTTTATTTTTTTTAAAATACATAATTATACTATCCAAAGTACATATCTACTATCGATACTACGAGCCGTACTTATGCCATTTATAAATCCACCTTTAACTGATATATTATTATTGATCATCACGAGTATGTTAAAGTACACGTGTCGTGTCGATTCAAACCAGGGTTTAATACTTGCATGTTAAGATTTATAATTACTTGATGGATTATGCCAAGAGCAAAGAAAATTCGTACGTAAGAAGCCGTGGACATTGGATACAGCCGGACGAGGGCGCTTTCTAGTTTAAGAGTAAAACTAGAAATGCTTAGGAACATGACCTGCAAATACTATAGATTGTATATAGATGTGTATGTATATATACTATACTTGAATAATGTCGAGCGATGCGTGTCACGAAATGATTTTACGTTTTGCCTATAAGGAGGTGGAGTGGTTGGGTGGAGGGGGCGGGAGGGCAAGAGGCTACGCCTGAACTATATCGCGTCCTGATTATTTTTCTCGCGATACGCGTCTAATTAGCGCAGGGTAATTAAACTAAGAGCCGACTCGTGCGATGGTCCCTGAAAAAAATTCGTGTAGAGGACTGGCAAGCCTCGAGTATATCATCGGACCGATATATTGATCGGTATTAACATCCTAAAGAATAAAGTAGGAGAGTCGTAAGGAGAAGGGTATAAAAGAAATATATAGAAAGAGAGAGAGGGGAAAAATATGATTTAAAGGAAATAATAGATAAAGCGTAAACATAAAATTGCTAAATGATACTGAAATAAATAACGCAAATAATATATATGTTGTGAGACAAAAAAATTGAGAGAAAATTAGATAGTAAGAAAGAGAAATTAGAAAAATATCAAAATTAACGTGAAATAGATAAATTAGATGAGTCATAAAGATATTTCCCGCCGCAAATATGAATAATCCTCGCGAGAGAAACCAGCAAAACTATAGACGCAAAATGCGTGGGCGAAAAGTATCTTCCGCGATACCGATTCCGTGATTCCGCGATATTCGAAAACTCTAGGGACAATTCTACCGACAATGCGCTACCTCAGTCCGTTTACCTGGAACGACAAGAATGAAGGAACGAGGATCCTTTGTACCAAAAGGGTAACGGGGCAACGAGAAAGAAGACAAAAGAAATTCAAGAAAATATAAGAAGGTCCTTTTTATTAGTACAAGACGAAACTTGAAGCAGAATAGTTTGCGTGAAAAACATTAAGCAATGCACAATTAATACGCGAACGGTCTGGCAAAGTAGACGGAATACGAGGTCGCAAATGATCGGATGATCGGAAAAATAACGTTACGATAGCCCTAGCGAGAATAGCGCAACGGCGTAGGTAACTGAATATAAATCACTGAACGATAACTCTAGTAAAAAATATCAAACGACAGAACTACCGCTACGGAGCACCGATCAACGGCACGTTACAAAGAAGATACGATTTGCACGATAAAAAGACACAGATAGAACAGGATCAATAATATTCGCAAAAAAATCAAGATAATTAGACAGAAAAAATAATACGGAAAAAAGTGTATCTTTGGAATTTGAAAATTATAAAGCAAAGTGAGACAGGTATTGTAAAGCAGACTATGAAATACGTCTCGCGATCGAGAAGCTGTAACGTAGACCCTGTGGCTATACCTGGGATCGAGAAATGTACTGCGATTAAATAATTTGGACAAAATGTTATATACAATCGGCAGGAATATGATACACGGAATTTTCCCTGTGTGACTTATCGAGACACGGAATCCACGAGAACTACTTTTCCCGGCTATTGACTTCGAATCGGAAGGATTCGGCACTAGTTAGGTAGCACAAGTATTAGAAAAATTGCACGTTAATCGAGACTTGGGACTCACCGGTAATACAGAGACGAAATAATTAGACGTGTGTTCTCCACCACGGACAGCCACCAAGAGAGCGATCTATCGGCTTGGCTTTCGGCTGGTACCGAAATCCCCACTCTTAATCTAACGCGTTAGGCCCACTGCCGAACTTATACCCGGGTCATAATTCAAATAACGCTACGAGTCCCTTTACAATTCGCTACTTATAATTTCGACTGATCATCCATATTGCTTTGTAAATAGGGTAACTGACGATGGCGATTGTCCCCAACTAGGTTCATTGGTCCTATGATGCGGATGCTGTTACTTCATCGAGGTCCACGTTTCCCGATCTACAGGACCGGTTCTCCGGGGTAACTAGCTCTTCCCGGGATTTCCAGCACTAGGGCAGCCTCCCGGCTGGCCCTTCGGTAGGATCCACGGGATCATCCGCCATAGATGCTGGGGTGCATCCTCCTCTTGTCCTCTTGTGCGAATCTAGTGTTTTACCGTGGTTATGAATGGAAGTAGGTGGCGCTGACTGCGCCTTGACTGAATTCATGAGACCTAACCCTTTCGACGGTGATGGAAATTTTGCAACGTCACGATATATACAGGGTGTTCCGAAACTACCTGACCCGGTGGGTATGGCGGTGTTCGGGAGGCTTCACTGATCACGAAAATGACCTTCCTTTTGTCCGGAAGCTCTTAGTTTTTAACTGGGCGCAGGTCAAACTTGACCAATCAGAACGAGGCGTCAAGAGAAACGTAGGCACCTGCGAACTCTGAGTTTTCTTCCCTCGCTTTTGTTTCTCGGTAGCTTGTTTCTTGTTTCCAATAGGCATGTCTTCGGCTGACGTCATCCTGCCCGAAGCCACCGAAAAACAAAAGCGAGTGAAGAAAACTCAGAGTTCGCAGGTGCCTACGTTTCTCTTGACGCCTCGTTCTGATTGGTCAAGTTTGACCTGCGCCCAGTTAAAAACTAAGAGCTTCCGGACAAAAGGAAGGTCATTTTCGTGATCAGTGAAGCCTCCCGAACACCGCCATACCCACCGGGTCAGGTAGTTTCGGAACACCCTGTATATATCGTGACGTTGCAAAATTTCCATCACCGTCGAAAGGGTTAGGTCTCATGAATTCAGTCAAGGCGCAGTCAGCGCCACCTACTTCCATTCATAACCACCTTATATACATAATTACATATGTACAAGTACGTAATGTTACGTATACCTTTTCTTCAACCATCCCCTGGACCCCCGACCCTTCAACTTTCAAGCCCGAATCGAGTTCCGCCTCGCATTTGGTAAGGGTTGATTTTAACCCCTAAAATCGGAGTACGGGTCAGAGATTAAGTGGTAGAGGTTTGAAAAGAGGGGAGGGAGAGAGCGCAGGATGGCTGACGAGGAAGGATGTATTTGTAGCGTCCCGACGCGGCCTAAGGGCGTCTGCTACCCGGATGGCGGAGTATGGCCGGACTGGAAGAGAAACGGAGTACAGAACGATGAAAATATCTGCCCCTTGAATTTGTGTGCGCAGGCAAATATTCACGTGCATAGGTATACCGTTAAGGGTGTATGGGTCATTGGAGAGTTGCGGGAGAGGGGGCTATGGGTTTTTACTGCACTTTCCTATATCGAGAGGTAGACCAGTAGCTCATTTGCGAGTTGTTATAAGAGTGATTCTCCGCCCCCTTAAAACCACCCCCTACCCAGCCCTCCTTCTACTTTAACCCATTCCGTCTCACGTCCGAACGGTATCGTTCACCTTTCAACCCTTACCCCGTGATCCCTACGAGTAACCTCGCGTTAATGAGGTAGATATAGGATACGCGTAAAACCCTCCTACGAAAATGTACTTCATTCGAATAATACAAATAGTCTGGCAGTTATACTGCGAACTCGTCCAAAAAAGGTTGAGTAGGTACGAGAAATCTGAGTTAAAGCGGAATTTACGAGGATACGTATATACGGGTATAGACTGTATTTACATACAGGGTACACAGATTCACAGACGCGTAACCATAGCGACTGTGTATTATGGATGGAAATAAAAAATTATGCATTTTGAATTATAAAAAATTTTATTAATTTTTTTATCAGT